CAATTAATCAAGCTTATCGGTGAATGTATGAAGAAATAAGCCCCCGCTGTAATAACCATTTGGAATAATTAAGGTCAAATACAATTTGAATCATGTACTCTTTTATTCATGAATCCATCAGTTGTCAGTTAACAGGTTATCGAGTTGCTGAGTCTAGAATTTTTGACGACAACTTTATTATGGAATATATCAAATACTTTTATCATGTGAAGTAGAAATGTGCAATAAGAATTCACGGTATCGTCTCTATTAGTATCCGTCTTTCTGCTCTTTCTTTCTGCATTTTGCGAAATAATATTTAGCGCAAGTGCTTCATAATCGGAGTCCGTATATTCCCGAATAAAGCCTTAATAAATGAGACCGACTTAAAGCTATTCATGACGATATTCACGCGTTAAATTAAACATGAGTTGGCATCGCCGAAAAGCGACCACGCCTCGTTTCGGGACGACTCGTGTACCGCCCACTACGCCCATTACTAATTATTATAACCGGTTGTTTGTAACCGTCGGTAATTAGTCACCGATTTGCGGCGCCACCTGTTGACTTAACTGTGGCGCTTTAGAATCGCTTCGAAATAGCACTTGAACGTTAAAGACAGCTAGATGAAAACGTAATTAACAAGGATTTGAATATTAACAGTTGTCCGACGTAAATTCCTGGAATACCAGACCATTAATGGTTTAAGTGCTTAGACACTGGGGATTCGTTTTGAATCCTAAGAATCTAATTCAGTATATTTGTTGAACTTGTCGTGGAAATGTCGTTTATCGTAATTACATCAAATAAAACTTTAAGGCATTGATATTTTTTTACTAGCAAAAGGCTTTGAGCTTCTGTTACCTGTTTAGACAAAGATTTAAAGAATAAAATAGAAGAAGATTAAGTAAGCCTAAAAATTGGGACAGTTTGTAGGTAAAATTTAAAATCTAATAAACAATGTAAGTTCCGTATCAAAATTTATTATATCAAAACATGTCGCAAAATGCAAGAGTTATTTTACTCATATTATATATGCAATTGGATGGATGGATGTTTCTTAGAAGGTATCTCCACAACGGTTGCATGGATGACGCTGAAATTGGGACAGATGTAAAACATAGTCTGGAAAAACACATAGGTTGCTAATTAAGATTTTTCTAATTACTGGCGGACGGAGTCGCAGGCAACATCTAGTTATGTTATAAAAGCAATAAATGTATGAGCATATACTAAACTGGAATTTCCCGTAATGTCGTAATTATTCGGTAGGTGAAGCAACCTCAGAAATGTAATTACTTGCCTACACCGATATCAGATCTCTATCTCATATATAATTTCATATCGATTATAAACGATCGTGTATTTTAAGATAATATTTTGCTTCCGAGAATTATTGATTGATTGGCGTTTCCGAGCGAGGTATAAGCACGCGTTCAATAAACATAAGTGTTTTTTCATAAGCTCTATAAATAAAGTGTTAACACTTAAATAAAATTGCAAACAATATTCTATCGAACAATAGTGTAACTTTAGTAATATAGATTTAAATAAAAAATGATTCTGTTATGCTTCTAAAATAAGCAATATTGCTTGGCAAAGTAACAACTTTCCAGTCCGTGATTTCTAAGTGAATTCAAGAAAAACATATCCCCCGTTCTCTTGATAATGTACGGTTGACCCAAATCATGCTTCGATTAAGAAATGGGTCAATTATGCTTAAAATTCCAGTGACGTGAAAATATTTCAAGATATATGTTTTCTAGTCCACTTTACCTTTTGTATTGACTTTTACTTGTAGTGTATTTTAAGGACTTTCTTTTGTTTATTATGGAGAGGTTCTTCGTATTAAATATTGATAAAAAATAATAACGAATCAAGTTATTCAGCCTTTGAATCTACCCTAGGAGAAAATGACAATCACAGGTCAATATTAATGCAATTGTTTGGATGGAAATATTTATTTCATCTTAGCCCTAGAACTACTATAATATCCATAACAGCTAATGCAGATTTTCCTCTTTGGAGCTAAGTGTACCTTGTTGACGTCTACGCGGGAGAACGAGTACAATAATTGCGAAGACAAATATTTACCGGTATTTACAAGGTAATGTTTAGCGGATCGCCCACGCTGACAGCCGCCTATTAGTGTCGACGAGTGCCGGACTCCCTGAGGTTTAGGCCCTTTCATACTGACATTCGTTGAGACTCTGGCTCTTTCATTCCGGCACACTGTAACTCGCTGAAGCTTTGGCTCTTTCACATTACTGCCTCAGGATATGACAGCGCATTTGATCAAAGCTGACAACTGGCGTTTAATGGAACTCATTAGATAGAGACGATGCTTTAAATTGTTGATAATTATTATGGTCAGTTACATTTTTGTCAGTCCAATGAATTTAGTTTCCGATTTCTAATGAAGGTTTGTTTATCTTTTATAAAAATTTCTTGTCTTCAATCAATAGAATTGAAAACTATGCGATGATTTTTATAAAACTTGAAACTCGTTTGATTAATTACAAAAATATAAGTAGTATATGTGTATTTATATTATATTCTTGTCGTGTTAAATATTTTGGTTACTTTGTCTTTCTTGTCATGGTATCTTGATCTAATTCTCGCAGTAATGATTTCTTATTATTTCAAAATCGGAATTGCCGCTATCTAAATTTATGGTTGCTCTCGATTGCTTACTGCGCAATTTAATATCTAATAAATTCAACATTGAATGGTAACATGCCAGTTCAGGTATTTTGCTCTGTTCGTTGCCTTAATCCTGTTTTTGCAATTTTAGTATTCTGTATTATTCTTAGTCAAATTAAATTTTAGTTTTCTTTTTAGTTTTATAACTACTATTTTATATCATTGACGCAAGGTCGAAGTGAGTTTACAGTTTTTATTGTGTACTTTAACTTAATGTACTAGCTCTCAAACGCGGCTCTGTTCACGCGGAATAAAAAAACACAATAAGTAGCCTATTTGTTCTTCCCGACTAAGTTCTACATATGTGCCAAATTTCATCAAAATCCGTTCAGCGGTTCCGGAGATACCTTCAAACAAACGTCCATCCATCTATCCAAACATTCACATTTATAATATAATAATGTTCCATGGACAATTAAAAATTAAAAAAAGAAGTACAAACAAAAAAACACATTTAAATTTAAGGGAGCATCAGTAACATAGGCACATAAGGAATAAGTAATGCGCTCAAGTTCTGTAATAAATCTTAAAAGAATGCTCTGGCCGCTCCCAAAAGGATACTCGTAGAAGCGTTCACCTTCTATTTTCCTGTTATTTATGAGCCTATGCTTTATACTAGGACCGCGAGCCAAGAATAAAGTGGGTAACTAAAATAAATGACTGTTCGTTACCATAATCATACATTTCTTTGCCCTATCAAACTTTATGAAAATGAATGAGCAAAATAAGTCAATACAATACTAAATCGATATATCGTACACTTAAAGCAATAATATGCCATTACAGACCTTTATTGTCTTTATTCTCTATCTCGAAACTAGATTTATGGATGGGAAATTGAGAATATAAACCCGCTATTACGGATCAAATGTTAGTTTTATCTTTCATTAATCTTAATTTACATAGGCCTCCTCACATTTGCATTTTAGAATAATCATTTTATAATTATCACATCATCGCTCCCTTGAATTTATCTGGATTTAAAATACAAACAAAATTTCAATCTGTAACAATTAAGAAAGATAAAATTAATTGTATTTGTTTAAGCTTTACCTAAGAAATATTTATGTTTTAATGTTTACAACGGACTTATTTTTAAATACGGTGATTAAAAAAAGGTTAAGCTTTTAAGCTTTCAGAGTCGGGATGAAAATAACGGTTAAAACGAAGGGTTCCTTAGGGTTATGTGACGCGCAAATCTTTTTGTTTGATCAGGCGCTTGTTGACAACAAATTCGTTGACGTTAATCCCTAGACAATGGTACCGTTCCATGGGACAAGTCAGATGACGGCTCGACCACCGACGCGTCGTTTTAAGTAATGCTAAATCTCTCTGTTAATATTTATATAAATGCTTTTTACTCGAAATTATTGCTGTTGAAAGTTATTCATGCGCATAATCTTTTGGACTTCGTTTCATTTTAAGTGTTTTCATGAGGCTAATGCTTTAGAATCTTAGAATAACAGTTTTGTTTTTATTTAAGTCTACATATGAAAACAATTTGCCAATAATTTTTAAATGAAATTAAGCATTTTACTTTTACTCTCCAGATTCTTGCTACAAATGTATTCTTGAATTATAAGATACAAGTACAAGTAGAACTTATAAAAGCGACAAAAAACATTTTTTTATTCTTAAAGCGTAACTTTTTTAAATGTCAAAGTAAGTGGCCTTTAAGATAAATGTCTCAGTGAATGTTATAATTACTATAAATGATAGAGATGTCTCTAAAATATATCATCCGAAATGTGTTTAGATAAATGTTTAACGGAGAGTTTGACTGCGTACATTAATAGTCATTTGGTTGCCTTCGTGAGTAAAATAAAAAAAAACTCTTCTTCTTCTTAAGTTTGATGACTGTTCTTTTATATTTTATACTTTTTTACGATTTTACTTGAATAAAAATAATTCGGAAAATTAATGTATTAAAATGTTAACCATTTATTTTATACTATGACCTTGAAATCCATATTTATCGTTACCAAATATACCTTGGAATAAAAACAATATAAACTATATATTACTAAAATAAAGTTGTAATAAAATTATTCATCTCAATGGAGAAATCTAAATTCAATTTCATGAACTTACCAATTAATAACGATTTCGTAGTCAATTAATTTTAATGAAGTCATTAAAACACGACATAATTTGGCAGACATGTTTATTCATACTTGTTAAAATTCAGCTTTATCAATCAAAGCAAGTAAATTTTATTTACAAATCCGAGTGAAAGATGAAATTATACAAAAATAATAAATAATTAAAACATAACTTAATTTTAATTAATTATAAATTTTGGTCATTGAAACCAAAAGAAAAAACATCTAGATGGGGAAAAATTTGGTTTCCACTTTCGTGCAGATTTTTTTTTAGGAATTTTTAGCTAAATTATAAAGAAATATAAATGCAGCATATTACAATAATAATGATGCAATTTTAAGACATTGATTACATTTGTTCATTACATGATACGAAATTAAGATATTTATCAGCTTATATTTTTTCTTAACACAGTAATACCATTAATTTCCACCCATAACATTTAGATATAATGTTGACCGAGAAAAATATAATTACTCTGTTTTTTTTTACAATAAATGCTTCGAATATTTACAGATACGTACATTATTTTATTGCTGAAGAAATTCAAAGTTTTTATATATTTACTAAATGTTATAATATAATTTGAATAAAGTATGTCTAATAACTATTAACTAAACGTTAATAAGGACTAGGCTGTAAAAATAGTTCTAATTATTAATTTCATTTACCACAATTTTATAGTAGATAATATATTTCACTTTGAAGAGGTCACAAAAAAAAGTTGAGAAAGGTTCAAATTTCACACTAATGAAAGTATTCAAATCATTAAGCATTATGTACAAGTTGCTTGTTATATACTTCAAATGACATCTAGTTATGTAATATTTACAGCATACGTAATTCAATTTCAATTGAAAAAAAATACCACTTATCATTAAACGATTCTTAACATATTTACATTACTAAATTTTCTGGTGTTTACCTTACTGTGAATCATAAATATATTTTATAAGTACAATTTACAATTTCCCTAATACTACATACGAACAATCCGATAATATGTCACGCAATCATAGCGAACGATGAGCAGAAGTGTCTATCAAAAGTAATATAACTTAAATTAAATCACAAAAGAAATTATCTCACAAAATACAATATTTATTTACTTTCCCGCATACTTTTGCACACTCAGTATCACATAGAAACTGTTCGTCCACTTTAATACGAAGAAACGTTTGTATTTTTTCACGATTTTGTTCTAATATTTAGGAACTCAAAGCGCGGTCATCGAAAGACAGCATATCGAAGCTGTGACGTCACACGATGACGTCATTCACAGAGTTTTCGTTAGACGCGATGGCTGGTGTGAGCACGGGCTGGAAACAATGCGACGCAGGAGTAAAATCTTCGACTAGCTTTCGCTTCAGAATCGATGATGATCCTACATATACGTTGGTTCCGGGAAATGTGCCCCGCCGTCTCCTTCTCCATACAATAGCAGCAAGCGCGGCCAAACCAAACGCTATCATAGCTGACAGACAGCCAAGAACTAACTCAGAGTCTGGGGCCCGTTCGGGTACACGCTCCCCTCTCATGGAGCTTACTAATACTGACATTAAACGGTCCCCTTCACTAACCTCAACATCTTGTACGCTCTCTGTCGAAACGCGTTGTGCTCGACTCGTATCAATGGTCATTGTCTCTGACTTTTCGTTATCTACGCCAGGCGTCCGAGAGACCAGTTCCACTTGAATGTGATAGATTGTATCTGGCCAAAGCGATAAAGTAACACGTGTGGAATCAGTAAAAAGGTTTCCTTTCAGGCCTCCGCCGTCGACTTCCCACGTTACCAGATAAACGCCACGCGCGATCCTCGGTTCCCAGGCGATTTCACCGATCACAAGAACTTTTTGGTGAATGAGAGAAATTTCTTTAAGAATCCATTTATGTTCGTCGTGGCTTGAAGAGTTAGTGTCACGAGCCAGCCACGTTTCGTCGGGGCTGTAGATGGTGACTAGGCCTTGAGGGTCTACGACGAGAACTCGAAGGAGGGCGCCTTCATTGTTCGGCGGTACTCTGGTAGCGAGGGCTTGGGTCTGTATGATTTGCCGCCAAGGACCTTCTGCCGCTCGGCGCATGACCACGTAGACGAGTGGGGCGGGCTTTGTAGAGGCTCGTGGTGCCGGTGGGGGCCAGCGGGCGAGAGCGCCACTAACTCTCATGACACCCTCTCCCTTGGTGTGAATGACAGGCTGCGTCTGCGATGCCCTGGCCGCTTCAATGTGGAATTCACATGCTACCTTACAACCTGGGAACTGTGGACAATATTTGCTCTAATTAACTTCTCAAATAGAGTATTAATTCAGACCATGCAGCCCTTTCTAACGTTTATTCATTCGTATAAATTAAGAAAACACTTTATAATTACAAATGTTTATTTCATTACTCTGCTGTAGTAATGAAATAAAAATTTTGTACTTAATAAGTGAAGAAGTTATCAAATACAAATAAAAACTTACACATATGTCTTTTTCATCACAAACTGCACCCCATACTTGATAGTTAGACTGCAGTAGTTCACAATTCTCCCAACACTGGAACAATAAGAGCCTTGCCTTAATGATGTGTGTAAAATTTAAATAAACGACTTAATTGGACATCATTGGCACGGATTGTTACGAAGGGACAGCCTTTGATCTCTCTGAATGATAAATGGAAATAGTGACTATCGCTAGAATTAGTAAAATGCTTTTCACAACGCGTGCATAGTAACTAGATCTTAGTCCAATTGCGATATTGTAGCATTCATACACCGTTTACAAAAACGTCTTAATGTAATGAACTTGGTAGAAATACAATAATTGAATATTTTCTTTTATTATTATAGTAAATTCTTAAACTTCAAAATGTATATCACCACAATATTTTAACTTTATAAGGAATTATTAAATTATTTTATTCTTTCGAGTCGGATAACTTAGTTAACACAGATAATAATTTGTTTATGTTGGCCACGTCTGTTCGGATTTAAGGATGGCGTTCGATACAAATCCAGCATTTGTCACGGGCCACTCATTAGTCGGAGCTGACGTTAACTTGACACCGAGTCTCGCTTCGCTAAGGTTTAATAATTTATAAGAAGCCAACGCCAACGCCGGTTATTAATTACTGATATTGACAAAACGTCCTGTCGCCTGGATGCCCGAGAACGTTTGAAGTGGAGATGTTATTGATTTTACAGACTAGTCACCATTAATTTGCATTTCTGTATCGTGGAATCTTATCTTGGAATATTGTTAGTTAATTTATCGCTAGTTAAAGGATTCGCTCGTGCCGTACTGTTACTCTAGATTGTAATTAAAGTTCTTAGTACTTTATAAAATAATAGGACATTGCAAGAAAATTTCCTTTAAAATAGGTCAAAATCTTAAAGCTATTTTTTTTACATTACTGGGTTGTATTTATAAAAAATTGTAATTAAAAAATTACAAAACACAATCATAAATCTTTGCTTAAAACAACATGTATCGCATAAATAAAGTTTTATATGAATATTTTTTTCATCCGAAGTGTTTCTTTGAATTAAAACGTGGATACTTACCATAAAACAGTCGGGGCCTTGCAAACACGATGACTCCCCGCCGGGTCGAGGCGCCGCGAACTGCGAACAAACACACAAAATGTCAATCATTCACCAATTTATCGAAAAACACAACAAAAAATAATGAAAATAACGTTATGATACGGAACGAAATCAATGATTCATTGCCAAATTATTTTACTGGGCATTATGTGCTATATGGGTAGATCGTTTAAATTATTTTATTGGTTTTTAAATATTTAAAGTGAAATTATCAGGTAGTTTTTAAAATTTTAAATTGATGGTCAATTTGTAGGTATCCCCGTATGTGGTTCAGTCAAAAATTCACAAAATGTTGTCATAACCGTTTAATTTAAATTAACCTTTAAAGCTTTAAAAGGCATTGTAAAAGGAAAGCTACACCACTCATTAGAAGATTCAATTTTCATATTTCTTTTAGATTGACACTAATATCTCTATCACAAAAATGTATCACATATATAACAGGTCATGTCAAAACATCCAAAACGTTACTGGTGACCCTTCAAACAAAATGACCTGCTTTATCAAATCATTTCTATAACACGATAAATCTCAAAATTCTTAATTAGCACTTAAACATTACATTCAAATCCTAAAGGGGCTCCATAAAAAGGGACATTTAATTATACGAAAGGACACCAATACATTACTCGTTATCTGACTCCGAAGTGGGTTTTATATTCGAGAGGATAAAAAGAAGAAGAGAATAAATGTTCGATTCGAGCAACGAGTTTAATGTATTTGATAAAAGTGACATGCATCTGCTTACCGTCTGCCGGTCGTTTTAATTGCCTGATACCAATGGGCGAAGTCTGCTGGCTCAGGCTGGGTACTTACGGTGGCTCGGATACGTCAACTACTCTCACGACTTATTGATAAAGTGATTTTTAACTTTCTAAATGCAATTCTCTAAATGTCACGATTTTCAATTTTACTAAATACGCGACTCACTTTTATTAAGATGTGATTCATCTCGTACATTATTTACATCGTACATTACACATATGTTATTTAATTATATTTTAATTCCTCTATTAAAAGTAAACCTCTAATAAGTATAGTTTTTATTCCAAACGTATTTAGTCTTTTACTATTTTACTACGAGTACAAAGAACATAAACTAAATTTAAACGTTATAGCCCCATGCAATCTATCAACGTGACACGATAAGCCATGAAATTGTATTTGTACGCCACAAAAGAATGTCATTTCTCCTTTAACACTTTGTGTAAATAGTTACATTAAACATTAAAGTTGTGCGTGTCTTATGAAACGAATATATTATTGGGTTGCATTTATGAATTTGAAAAGTTTAATTTGGTCTACAATTCATCCAAAAACAAAATTACATTTGCCTATTTAACATAACGCATTAAAAAGAACGTCATAAAAAGTTTATCCGTTGAAAATAGACGTCAAATCCAAACCACAATAATAGAAAGCAATTCAAATAGGTAATATCAAGCGGTAGCAACGAAGAAAAAGAAATTACACTATTAGGTCACTATCATTCCCGCTAATGACGCCAATCTCAAGCGAGAGCCATCAGGCCACTCCGGCCGCCCGTTATTAGATGTAATCATCGTAATTTTTCACACAATTTTTTTTTTTTGGATCACGATACAACGCCACAGAAGTGTTATTTCACGTCGGCTAATGACAACAAAAAATATAGTCGAGAGCGTTGCACTGGTAGCTGAGAGAGGCGCGTCGAATGTATTACGTCTATATTGAAGTTTTATGCTTTGTTTATCGAGTGTTAGACTCGGTATATAGTCTTGTTATTTGTTAAGGTAAATAAGATACGTTACTAAAACTAATATTGTTCTAGCATAGTAGAATTGCCATGGATGTCTTACATAAATTAAAGCTACGCAAATTAAGTGTCCTTTAAGAAATACACGTCAAATTTTTCCTGCATATTTGCGATTCCAAAGTAAGGTATAATTACTAAAATTGGTGTGTAATGAATAGTTTCTCCTTTGCTTATCAAATTTAGTGTTTCGTTATAAGAATAAAGGGTAAGAAATCTAGAAAACAAACGTGACAATCACGTAAATTTCCTCTTATTAATGTCTATTAAAAACAGCATATCATTTTTCATCTGCAGCATTCAATAAAAGTTAAAAGCAACACCCGAACAATCAGCTAAAGATGAATTTGGCATGATATCAATTAGAATAAATTATATTTCCTTCTAACTGTACCGAATTCTACTTTCGCCATTCCGAATGCCACAAAGAACGTTTAACCAATTCAATTACAAAGTATTGTATCGCACGACGCCGTCTCGAAGAGTTTGAAATATGAAAGTTAAACAAAACAAAACGGACGAATGTACTTCGCTGACTGCAAAGGGAAGTGAGTGAATAATGAACGACGGTGATTGAAAACAGCTCTCCGAGTGGGCCCGTGTTTGTATAAGATGCCGCCACAGATTACTCTTTTGTTAATCAAACTGCGCTTATTGAATATTATTTAATTAATCTTTACTATTTGACTTTGCCGTTGAACAGAAAGCGATGAAAAAAAATGAATTTAAATGTTCAAAAGTTAGTTATGAATTATAATCAAAGACTAATCGCTTTTAGTGAATGGTGTCAGCTGTAACCCCGTGAAGGTAAAGAGGTAGGATTTTTGTAGGCTTATCTCTTAAGTTATCTGGTCTAAATGTAAGTTATTAAGTTATATCTGGATTCAGATTTTGCTTAGTAACAATAAAAATATTGAAACCCTTTCTTTAAGTTTTGGTCAATTCGTAATCATTTTGTTAAGTGTATGGCTGCTAGTACTCTCTTGACATAAAAGTTAAAAAAGCAATATAAAAAGCGCATAATATGAAGCATTTTAAACGAGCCTGGATCTCACATAACTATGCTTAAAAAAGAAACAAAAGCTATTAAATATAATCGTTCATGATCCCAGCCTCAGGCTGCGCAGGCATCGACTAATCGGTCGATAGACACACACACGGGCGTTTACAATCAATCCATCAGCGTTTATGTAAGGCGTAACTACCGATGATCTTCATTTATCATTTTGTTTTGTGAGTAGCGGCCAGAACACGCTCGCGGGTCAAATCGAGAGTTCATACAAAACAAATATACTTACAACGCACGCCAAGTTATCAATTTTAACTATTGATTTTTATCCGTGTTCGTATCAATTTATCTTATAAACAAAAGAAGTACGTGAATCTAGAATTCCTTACAAATTTAAAAAAGGAAACATAATTCAAGAATATATGCAAGATTTGAAGAAAGAGATCCGTTCTCTAGTGATAGGGTAAACTGTACGTATTAAAATCAAGACGCTACAATATCTTATCAAAGCAGAATTCTCGTCAACAAATAATACCCTTGTCACCAAAACATATTACACGAAATGAATGACGGACAAACATAGCAAAAATATCAAACACCACACAATGTTTTTCAGCGAGACAAGCAAAAACAGTATGAATTATGATTTCTCATAAAGATAAAATACAATCTAAGCCAGCGCGCCAAATGGAGAAGAAAAAAATGTAATATTCTGCAGGGAACAGATACCGCGACTTGATGTAACAAGAACTCGGATCGCAGTGTACCTGTATTTGATACGAGACGATATTAAAAAGCAACGAGCTAAGTCCATTTCGGCGAGGATTCGCGACATTTAATGATTTACTTGCTCATTATGTTGTCAACGCACGACTTTATACATTTTTACTTATCTACTTAAAATTATCGCTTATATCAATTTCTTTGACAACGATACAAAATACAATCCAACTGAGTTAACTATAATTAATTTCTTTAATTGTTTCCAGCAAAATTTATTCCTAAGAATACTTTTGGTCTAAATACTAAATTCACGCTAAGGAACTTCCTCATAGACAAACATACTGTGTGAAACTCTGCGAGTCGTTATGTGTGTATGTGTGTAAATCTTAGAAATACTAATCAAACGGAATAAGTCGTAATTATTAGTTGCATGCGAAGAAGATGCGAAAAACTCATCTTATTAAAAAAAAGTAATGACAAAAAACAAACAGAAATATGTGAAATACATCGCAAATGTGTTCGTCTATACAGCGTACGTTAGTTGTTATTTCATTTGATGTAGCGAAGGTAAACTCTATTACCGGTCCGTTTTTACAAGTAGAAATTCAATTTCAGCTTCCGCCCTGTTCTTAGTGAAAAGTAGGTTACTGGATACGGAGAGACATAAATAAAATGAAATGAAATGAAGTACTACCTTTTAAAAATGGTGTACAATCTCGAGTTTCTTACCACATATCGATAATTACAAATTTGAAATTCAATCTTTTTTGTATAATATAATTTTAGAGAATTGTGATTGTGATTTGGAAATTTGTGATTAATGCAACTTATTGGTATTGAAACGACTGTTTTAAAGAAAATTTATTTTAAACTAACTTTCGCCCCCTATACCGTCCGCGCGGAATTAAAAAAAAAACATAATTAGTAGCCTATGCGTTCTTTCAGGATGTGATCTACATCTATGACAAATTTCAGCGAGATCTGTTTACCTTTTCTACACATACACTGTAAACTAACATCCATCCATCCATACATCTAAACATTCGCATTTATAATAATAGTAAGATTTGTAAGATTTTTCTTCATTTATATAATTTAATCATCATGGTATAGAATTAAGAACGCGTCATAATTCATAAGAAAAGATCGGTGAGAGATATGTCCTCGATGGCAATAAAAGATCGGCTCTACATCATTAGGTCTCGGTCACAACATGAATTTTTCATGAAATATGGATACGTATAGCTCACCTTTATTTTAAAAGTACAAACTTCAACAGTATCGGTATTATTATCTTTGTCGATACTTCTCCTTTCTGACTTTTTGCGACAAACCGCGCTGTTTTATCTCGTCTTTTGAACAAGGCTATAAAATGTCTCTCAATAATAGTAGGAAACGTGAGGTAGAATTCATTAGACCTTTCGAAGTAAAATAGAAAATAAAATTCGCGTCCGTTGTGAACAAAATTACGATATTTTTTTTATGAAGGATAGG